CGATGGGAACTGATTATGGTAATGAAGCAACGGCGTATCAGGTTTCCTGTTGAATAATCATGAGCTTTTCTTGAATGAAAGAGAATTGCACCCACCCAAAGGAGGGGGCGGACGAAAGAGTGAGAAAAAAAAAGAGACAGCACAAAGCCGGGTGATTTAAATGCAATGAGTAGTGTGTTAACGGTAGATTAAATGTGTGTCTCTTAACGTGATATAAGTTACAGTTAACTGGTTATGTAATTTGATTAATAAATCGGGTTAATGAGAGTGTTCCATTTGTAGATTCGAATCGAAAGCTCTTTTTGTTTGTGAGTGATAGGGTTGAGGGACGGTTAATTGGCAACTTGGAGATTCAGAAATACACACTTCGCGAAAAACTTAATTTTTAGGTTCACCATATAAACAGTTCTATTTCTTTTTATGTAAATTACATTTCAGTTTAATGAGTTGTTTTTATCATATTAACAACTATAAAGAAAAAAAATATCGCCTTTTGTAGAGGGTACAGTAAATTAATATCTACGTAGTTTTTTTTAAATATTAAATTAGAACAACTATTACATTTTAACTTAATAAACCATTAACTTTTCTTAATATATCTAAAATGAAGTGCAATAAAATGTATTCATGATTTTTTTTAAAAAAAACTATGTATTTACATTGAGGAGTCGCAATGGCTCAGTGGTTAAGATACTGAATTGTCATTGTGAAGAACTGGGGTTCGATCTCCGATGGTGGCTTAAAGCACACCCAGCTTCAGATCGATGAGTACCAGCTTGTCTGGAAAGTGAAGGTGACCTGTGTGCATTGCCACAATCATGCCGTTTGTCACGAAATTGTGGAGCCTTAACCTCCATGACTCTCCTGGCCCATAACGGGCTGTTGAGGGAATGCTTTTTATTTATAATGAGTGAATATTGCACTTCAGTTGTGATTTGATGAAGGGTGGTGACTGAAATTCCATATCCACATTCTAAAATTTTGAACAGCTTCATCTGTATGTGGTGTCGTGGTATAATAAAAAGGCTATACACTACAAGACAATACCACGTATGAACCACCCGGTAAAAAACTGCTGAATTAGCATTATTAACAAAACGAGCATCACAAACTAAGCTACACACAAACTGCTAGCATCCCAAACAAAACGAAGATAGAAAGAAAAAGTGAATTACGAAGTGATAGAACATAACTGATTTAGTACGAATTTGTGGACATTTAATGACAAGAATTGTGCAATTTTAGTAGTTTGCATAAAAATAAGTAATTTTTGCTCTCAGAAATTAATACTACTGGGAAAAAATGTAACTGTAATATTTGACTCGTAGATTTTATTACCTTTTTATTAATGTTTATGACATGATTAGACACAATCATGCGACAAACATTAATTGCAAGTAATACAGTTGATGACTATAGTGTAATATTATCGCATCCAAATTGCACAGCTAAAAAGTTTGCAAACTTTTAAATCTTCTTGATAACAAGTCATTAAAGATATATTATTGTATTTTAATAGATTAAATATCCATCACCAATTTGCTATAATGGTATGAATAATTAATCTATTAAAATATTGCTTTGTGACTGATTCATTTTACTACTGTCTGATAGGCTATGAAATTGGAAAACAGAACCCTAAATATTAATGTGTTTCTTCAAAAAAGAGCTTGTTTATAATTCAATACTAAAGTTTGATTAAAATAATTAAATATCAATCACCAATTTGCTTTTTTGCTATGAATAATTAACCTATTAAAATATTGCTTTGGGGTTAATGCATTTACTATCTCAAAGGCTAACAAACAGTAAAAATTGTAAATTGTAATACACTCTATAACAAAAAAAAAAATCGACGCACCAAGAAGGAGTTGTCCGATTGAAACGAAAATTGGTGGATAGGAAGACAATGTACAGAATAGTAATTGATTAAAATTTCAAAACAATTGAATAATTTATTGCAGAGTAACAGTAACAAGTTCAATAAGGTGTTGACCCGCCTCTAGCCTGGATACAAGCTGCCACACTTCGTGGCATAGACCGATAAAGCTCCCGGATGGTTTCTTGCGGTATTTCCTGCCAAATTCGATCCAATTGTCGAACGAGGTCATCAACATTCCGTGCCAGATGCAATCGCCTTCCCATCATATCCCAGACATGCTCGATGGGAGAGAGATCTGGTGATCTAGCAGGCCAAGAAAGAGTTTGACAAGCTTGCAGACAGTTCGTAGCAACACGTGCAGTATGTGATCTGGCATTGTCCTGCTGAAAAACCAGCCCAGGTCGCTGCAAAAGGAACGGTAGCAAAACAGGTCTTAGGATGTCGTCGACGTACCGCTGTGCAGTAAGTGTACCTCTAATGACGACCAAAGGGGTTCGGCTGTCAAAGGAAATGGCACCCCAAACCATAATGCCTTGTTGAGGGCCGGTGTGGCGTACAATAGTGAAGGCAGGATCCCCCCTCTACCCTGTGCGTCTCCGAACACGTCTTCGATGATCGTCAGGACGCAGTTGGAAGCGGGATTCGTCGCTAAAGACTATACGTCCCCAGTCGGCATCATTCCAGCCATATCTGTTCAAAACATTCATGCATACGAAATTTCAAAGCAATCGGATGATTGCTTCTTGGTGCGTCGATTTTTTTATTAAAGAGTGTATGTTGTAAATTTAAAAAGATTAATCATTTACAGAGATATAACATTAATTATTTGCTTAATACATAATTTATTTGCAGTTCAACGTATAGTTCGACTCAATTGATTGAATATCCATCTCCAATTTGATTTTAAGGCATAAATAATTAGTCCATTCAGATTTGTCCAAGTGATTGCGTTATTTTCCATCTACTAGATTAATTTGTAAGAGAAATCGGATTTATATTTAGAAACAGAAATTTTGGTTAGAACTGTAACATTAATGTACTAGTTCAATACGTAGTTTGATTTATTCATCATACTCAAGTGATGTGTACATTTTTCGCCTCTGTAGTAAGAAAATGGATTTGTTTGGGGGTAGTAGGTAGATAAAAACCGCATCAGAAAAGAGCGCGTGAAGAAAACAGATGTTTGGGCGGCGAAAATGCCCCCCACCTCTAAAAAGTATTCAAATATTAGATAAAAAGAATAATATATATATATATACAAAAAAGAAAAAAAAAACAGAAATACACATCATACAACCATCGTTTGCCGAATACCGTAAGACATTATGGCGTGACCTACATGCATCACCAGGAATAACTGAACAATCCTCCTGGTTTGTTCGTGTTGTTCGAAATAAAAAATTTAAAATTGAGAGTAAAATAAAAAAGAATATTTTTTTTTCAAGCTTACATTGTAATTTTGATTTTTTCCCTCCCTGTCTTATCATGAAGTAGGGTAAAATTTTAAAATATTTTTTTGTAACTCAACACTTTTTCCCCGGCATCTTCTCGATGGAAGACAAGGCCACTGTAATTACATTTTTTTTTTATAAACATACAATATCACGCGAGTTTTTGAAATTTGGAAAAAGGCTTTATAATCCTTACTCTTTGGGATATGAGGGAAATAGAGTTAGAGACGAAGAAGTCCTCAAAAACAATTCATGTACTATTTCTGGTTACTTTTTAAGAGTCTGGATCAGTGGCTCACTAAAAGTGTTGCTCGGAACCTTAATTTACAGCGGAAGGATCACAGGGGTTACTAGAATTAAGATTTTTTTAACGTGTAATAATTATATTTATATCCAATCAATTATCTATTATTATTTTTTAATATTTTGATTGGCTATTTTGAATTTCTTAGTACTCCAGAACCATAGCTAAGATTGTGATATTTGGACAGCGTTTGAAACCCCCGATCCAAAAAAAAAAGAAGGAGGGAAACGTTTAAAAATTTATATTATATCGTTCGGTAGAAATGTTTGAAAAATTATTATTTAACTATTTATTTCTTTTTGCATTAGTTTAACATTAGCCACTGTTACTAATAAAATTGTAAACGATTCTGTTTCAGATTTTATACCACGTTGTTTAATGTTTTATCATTTTTTGCAAATTCAGTGATCGACGTGATCGGTGCTACGCCATCGAATTACCATTTCTAATGATATCTGATTTCACGTGTTTATTTTGTTTATAATTGAGCTTCTAAAACGTATTTTCATGGAGCTAAATAATTAAAAATCAACAAAATAATTGAAATAAAGAAAAATAAATAGTGTACGAGAAAACAAAATAATTATTTCTTATTCATGCAGAACCGTAGAAAATTAGTTTTTTTTTTTAAAAAAATGTAAAATTATATTTATTTTGCTCATTTTTAGCAGATGCATACACAAATAAAAAATGTGTCCCATATTTAAAATATGTTATACATGAATGCAAAATATATTCATAATTAGTAGTAAAATATATTCATAATTAGTAGTAAAATATATTCATAAAAGTTAGTAGTCCATCCATCCCTTTTTCTTCTTTTCACATAGTATGTTCTTATCTGGTTATGAACTTTTTGTCATATATAATACCGGAGTACCGTTAAAAGAAGCTCGATCAATTAGCTCGATCCCATAGCCGAAAAAAATTAGGATTTTGACTTCTCACGTTACTTGTATTTCATTCTATTTTGTAATTGTCAATTAAGCGGTTGATTGAAATGGTCCAATTGCTCTATTGCCAGTTATATTTAGCCCCGCAACTATATTTAATGTATTGTGCTTGTTTTTTAAGCTACTTTTATTTTTATTCTTATTTTTAGTGCATATTCTTTTAATATCAAGAATTTTTAAATATCAAGAATGTTGTTTAATACCATAAATGTATCATTAGTTTTAATAAATAGTTAGTAGAATCAATAATAAATAAATATAATGAAATAATAGAATAATAAATAAATATATAGTTAGTTTTTCAATGCATATTTTTTACAAAAAAAATTCAATTTCACTGACTTAACTTTCAATGATTAATTTCCTTTTGTCTATATTTGTATTAAGTATTTTTTTCTTTCTAATTTCAGATAAATATTTTAGGTTGTTTTTGCCCTTCATTACCGGTAAGTACTTTTTTTCAAAGAAATTTTTTTTTTACAAATTCACAAAAATTTTTCAGAAATTGAATATATTTTGTAAAAGATGACTATTGTAAACAATTTTTAAATGTTAATGAAACACAACATGGAGCTAAATTATTGAATAATTTATTCAAACTCACTGAATTGACACGAGGATTGAATCTGTATAATACTTTTGTATACATTATACTGAAATAAATAAAAGTTGTATATTTAAAATACGGAGAAAAAAAATTAAAAATAAATACTAATAAGCATTGAATTTTTTTATTATAGCACATACGTGATTGAATTTATTATGGTTTTTTTTTTCAGGAAATATTTTTGTGCATTATGAAAACTTAGCTACTGAAACACGTACAATAAGTTTAATATATAATTAATTATATTAAACTAGCAGCAAACATTGAGACTATCATAGTCAGAAAACTTAAATGAGACCTTCGTGTTTGGGGCTAGCAATGAGCCACTGTGTACATAAGTAATGGACTAGATTGTAACTTTTTATGTTTGAATTAGTCATTTTTTTTCTTCTTATCCATAATCAAATAGACTAAACGAAAACAAAGATCGTGGATTTTTATAATATCGCTATTTAAGCAGTGAAAGTTTGAAAAATTTTTTTTCACCCTATCCCCAATTTAATTATTCACACAAAGTGACTAAAGAACTGGTGATGCAAAGAAATCCCCCCTTAAAAAAGTGGAAAAAAGTGACCGATAAACATCAAAATATAGGAAAATATTAAGCGCCAAAGAAAAGATTGTTGGCACTTACTTCTAGATTTCTTGGATTTAGGCCCAAAGAACGTGTACTAAGTCACAAACACAATATATTTTTCTAATCATATAAAGAAAAAATAATAAGCAAAACATTCTGGAAGGTTTCCAGGGATTATACTTTCTTATACTATGCCTATTTTTTAAGTGCATTGCGCCAGTTACTGAAGAACATAAATTTTTGAAAATAATTTAGTGATATTGTTGACAATGCATCAAGTTTTGAAAGCTAAGCCTGTAAGAACGATGTTTATCGTAACGTTCGTTAAAAATGCTTTTGTTTTGATAATAAACGTTTGCGTTATGCATTGCATAAATAAATAAAAAGTAAATAAATGAAAAAGGGAAATAAGTAAAATAAATTAATAATTAAACAAAAATAATAAATTTATTGATGTTTATTGTTTGGAGCAAGTAGTAAGTACATATATATGAAGATTCATTAAATTCTCCTTCAACGCTAATTTCTTTAAACGATTTCATTCTTATCGTAATTGCTGTATTATTATGTAATATACTAATATTAATATGTTAATACAGATATTATTGTTTTTGAATTTTTATAAATTAGAGTTAAGAAAAAATCTGAAGACAATGAAATTAAAATTTTGATCAAAATTTGTATCAGTTTCGAATACTTTGATTTGAATATAATTTACTATCATCTGATTTGAATACACAAGAGAAAAAAATTCTGGTAAAATTACCGTTTTATGAGGCAATAATATGTCTAGTAAAAAAAGAAATAAATAAAAAATAAAGCATAATTCTGGTTAATAAAACCAAAATATACGGTATTTAAATATTCATTATGGGATTTTTCCGTTCACGTGGTAGCGGTTAATTGGAAATTGTAGTTTTTAAAATTATACGTCTTATTACCCCACATTAAGTTAAAAATACAGAACTGAAAAGTAAATTTCACCAGATAAATGCCATGCCATGTTCTAAAGTATCATGATAAAATTACCAAATTTGACTACACTCTCCAAATATAATATATTATAAGACCATATTTTCTTGCTATTTTTACCAAAATCATCACCAAAGCGCTTCGTAAAGAAATTACCGAGCTTTTTGGCGTTCACATGGAGCCAGAAACATGATGAATTTTACCATATTCTGGCACTCTTGACCATACTTTTTTTTCTTCTTTTTCCCATACTTAATATAATTTGTTAATTTAATTTCCTAATTCGGCGATTCGAATTTATATCAAAATAGTAGCCTTATTCGATTTCCAAAGTTCGACTTAGTTGATTCATATCATAAATTTCGTTCGTGATTTAAATTGCAGTAATTATGATCTTATTTAAATTGATGATTTAGTTTGCTTAACTGTTCTTTAAATCACTTCCATTGTTTGAACACTTAATTATTGAAAAATATGAACAATTACGAAAATAACAATTGAGCTAAAAACACATTTTTTTATAAAAAGTTTTGCAATTATTTTTTATTATCATTTAATTTCTATATTCTACAAGCATGTTTCAGGTTTATTTGAGAAATATAGATTTATTATAATTTATTTGCTGCAAAAAAGGGAATTAATGTTTCAAAATAAGGCTTTCTCAAAAGATTCCATAGATTCAAATCCATAGATTTAAAGATCCAGCATATTAGAGTCAGATTACTGATCTGATCCCTCAGAGGTGGAACGTTTTTAATCGACTTTAAATGTGATTGCTTGACTATTACAAAATAAATATGAAACAAGCAGATGAAAGGGAATCATATTCTTCAAAGCTTTGCTATCATATAATGCTCACTTGATTTCTCCTTTTTTTATATTTATAAAATTAAACTGCGAAATATGAGTATAATTTGATTAATTTGTCATGAAAATGAGAATACTGTTCCAAAATTAGGCATTTCTAAGTACGATTTTTACTTTCTCTCTTCCGCAATTCGAATCAATGGATTTAAAGGTTTTATTTATTTCATTTAATTACTTAAGAATTGATGATTTATTTCATTTAATTACTTAAGAATTGAGGATTTATTTCGTTTAATTACTTAAGAATTGCTGATTTATTTCATTTAATTACTTAAGAATTGATTATTTATTTCATTTAATTACTTAAGAATTTATGATTTATTTCATTTAATTACTTAAGAATTGCTGATTTATTTTTCAATATACTCTAAATTACTGCAATCGTTTATTACTTAATTATAGCAAAATAATTACAAAGTACGGAAATGAGGGAACTTTTTAAATTTTACAAATACTTGTTATACACTTGATTTCTATTTGCTACTCATTAAGTTTCAACTTAATCTTATAAATATAAACATTGATATGATTTATTTGCCACAGAAATGTCTGGAAATGAGACTTTTCCAAATACGACATTTCTCTCTCTCTCCATAAATAGCCGATCTGACTCTATACTCTTTAAATCACGATCTATTGCTGATCATTGAAGGGGAATACAGGGGAACGGGGCGTGATGAATCTGATAACTGCGCCCCAGCAATTTATCCACTGACCAGTCGGTTGCGGCTGCTTTGTCTGGCAGTCAGAATGACCCCTTTGGGTACCCGGGGGACTCGTAATGAGGCTATACAAACGCCAATGGTCATTCGCCCACTCTGAAAGGGAAAGATCGACGTGAAAGCAACAATGTGGAATTGCTCTCGGATAACTCAGAATTCAATTTGGGCAACTTATGCTCAATCTGATGGAAACAATTTATTTTCATTTTATGTCGACTAATTCTCGCTTCTTCTAAAAATTAGTGAAAGAACATGTCAAGTCACTCTTTAGAGTATTTTTTACTTATTTAAATAATAATTTTAATAACGTATAGAAACATGAAGAAACTGTTTATAAAATGCTTTTCCTCTATTAAAAACAGCCTTATTTGAAGACATGAAAGAATAATTAAGTACCCTTGAAAAACAAATTTTAAATAAAGGTATAACCATTCATTTTGTGGATGCTTTACATACTCATTTAACTTATAATCAATGATTTATCTTCAAAAAGTAGTTAAACTGTTTAATTTTTTAAAAATTTAAGAAAAAATTGAAAAAATTCAAAATTTGTAAATCTTTTTCAAATTTTTTTTTTCTTAGTGCTTACAATATTTATTTTGACAATTTTGTGCATTCATTGGTTGATATATCGATTAGAACAGTTTTTATAAATTGCTTTGTGAAAAAGAAAAAAAAAGTTAAAAATTCTTGTTAGGTATATATAACGTGCTGTAAGAATTGAAATACCTCATAAAATGCCTATTCCATGCACAGTTTAAATAAGTGTATTATACTTAAGATAAAAAGTTTACTTCAAAGCTTTTTCTTGAATGGAAAAAATTGCTTAGGGATTTAATTAAGATTAAAATACAAAATTATCATCTATGAGAAAAAGCACTTTAAAATCTATCTGCTGATCAAGTTTCTGTTTTATGGCAATCTGAAATCATTTATAACTTTTTAAAAAATGTAGATATAGAGATGATTTTTTTCAATTTATTTAAAATAGTTTGAAGTTTTATTGTAAGCAATTAAAAAATATCGATATTTTGGTCATTTTTTGGGTACTGTAACTCCTTGAAGGTTTTATATTTATATTTGTGGTCCTTGCTGTATGAACGTACCTATTATTACATTATGTTCTATATTATGGTCACGTTTTTTAACTTGATATAATATGCTATAATTATAGCGTGTTACTAAATAGAGAACGCTCTAGTACGCAAATTAGGAAGCTTTTTTCCCGTGGGGATTCATGCAGAAGAATCAAGTAGCTGTTTCAATACGTTGAGTTTTACTTTAAGTTTATTGATTTCGTTTGTTTTTAAGGTAATTTTTGAGCATGAATTGAAAAGATATAGCAGAGCTAAAGTAATGTACAAATTATTAATTAACTCATATAATTGAAAAACAACCCCTTTTGTAATATTCTACTCTTTTCTTTGCCAACTATTGTCTGAGACTTGGAATAACAATTTAGTTACAACTTTACGTACCTCGTACCTTTGAATAAAACATTATCTACTTACCTAAATCGTACCTCGTGTGCATTCTTAAATTTTACCTTACTATTCAGGAGCAACGTAACAACTTCAGCTTTTAAACAGGTCGATTTTCAAGTCATCTAAACTGAGATTACAACCAAATTGCCGAAAAGGGACTGAGAACTATTTCTGGATTAATTTTCTCGTGAGTAAGGCCTACAATGAGATTGTAACA